CGTCAATGAGGGAATGAGAGTGGTTAACGATTTATCAAAGGTTTGGCGCATGCGCCATAAATGGCACAAAATGTTGATATTTGTCCTGATTTCCACAGTTCTCTTCATTCACTTCTTTTGTAAATTATGCAAGATTGGATAAAAGACACTGCCAATGAATCATATAATTACACTCCACGCGGTACGCGTTTTGTTCAGAGGAAAAACACAAATGAGCTGAACCTTTTTGGTTCAACCAGCTTGGAGTTCAATCAGCTCTGATATCATAAAATGACTACATCGTTGTTGGCTTGGAAGGCAATGACCAGCAGGAAGATTATTTGTGCAGATTATTGGTAAGCTCTAGAAATACACCTGTGCAAGTTCTAGAAATATCGACTTGTTTTTTTTTGTCGACAACGAAAAATGATGCAAGGCGAACACAAACGGTGCGTCAAGTACTTTTTCTGACAGGGGACAGAAGAGAAATGTATGTGCAATCGATGTCTTTTCCTTTTCAGACCAGTTAAATTGCTGAGCGTCACCGAGTGTTTCGAAAGGGTGCTGTTCGCCACAGAAACTGTCAGCCTGCGACAAAACTACTGCACCGGCATTTCTTTATCATTCAAATCTTTTTTCCCGATTGTTCTTGATTGGGAACTATACGTGAATAGGACGTCCTTTACCGCTGGGCAACGGGGACAGGGACTGTCTGGCCAAAAAATATGTGCTTCTTAAATCAGGGGTGGATCTAGCCTGGAGTTGCTGTTTGTTTTTTTTTGGGGGGGGGGCAACCATTGGTCGCCAGCTGGCTGGTGTGGGATCCGAGGTCCAGTGCATGGTGCCTCTCGCGAGTACCTAGTAGGGACACCATTCAAAACCGAAAAAAACACCGAAATGCTCTTGAATCTTAAACAGAAGTTAAAACAAAGCAATTAAACAGTTTAAGTTAAAACAGACGGTAAGTGGACGAAACTTTCATGATGTTCTGGAAATGTTTTGGGGTGGCCAAAACATACTCTCAGAGGTTTTTGGGAAGGTCATGACCCCGTGCCTCCCCCCCCCTCCCCCCAGGATCCGTCTATGTCTTGAATTACTCTAAGCCAGAGAGATTGGCTCAGAAAGATTTATGCACCAACGTGTCCAGTTAGGCGCTTTTTAGCGGAACTGACTCATCTCCGTAGGAAATATCACTGCAGTGTCCGTGCCGAAACGCTGAGACACCGTAATGTATGTTCAACAGGCAAAGGAAGGAAGCGGGACGTCACTGCTGAGCGTTTTGACTTGCCCTTGTCTAAGCACTACCATTTTTCTAGCCCCTAAATTGACGGAAGCTGTAGCTTCACCCATTCAAACTGAATCCGTTTGACCTCAGCCCTTGCGCTCAAGTTCTACGATCATGCTCAGCCACGAATGACCTCACTGTCATTTAACCATGGGCCTAAAGGGATTGTTTTTCAATTAACGGCCAGTTTCTGATCAACTAACATTTAAGACCGCCGCACAGATTAAGCTGCCGATCAATGCCCAATGAAGCACTTTCGGTTTCATGTTGCATACTGCATGGAAACGTTCGATTCACAAAATGGCCGCCGATGCGCCTGGCCTGGAGCAAATGCATCGACGCTGGGCTGCCAAAGCCAGAGCCGCGCCTGGCAGCGGCGCTGCCTGGCAACCAGCCAGACCTGGTGAGAATATGGAGGCCACCCCGCCGCTGGTTGTGTTACAGACGCTGTTCAAGACGCGCTGGCCGACTGGAATTCCAGGGCAGGGCGTGCTACTGTCTGGAGGTGGTAAGCGACGACAAGCGATTGCACCGACAAGCGACAACCAGCGCGCATTCGGCTCTGTCTTCCGCGGCCCGGCCAACCAGGGGAGAGGCGATGGAACCCCTCTCTCCATGTGACCAGACCTCAGTTGCGGCACGGGTTGCGCCTAATGCGAGTTGCCACTCGTGGACCCATCATTTATCCACGACCGGCTGCATAATTACCCACGACCGGCTGCATAATTCAGCAGCGGCCGCCGCAACATGGATCGCAGCCGGACACGTGTTCTGACGGATGACGGCGCTCTTCTCTGTATCATGCGGCTCTTCTCTGTGGCGATCCGGAGGACGCGAGCGGCGCGGGCTGGCGCGCGCCCGCCGCGTCTCGGGGCGGCGGCGCCTACCGACGGCCGCCGCGCCGGTGGCACCGACGGTGATTCACCACCGTCTGCCGCCGTCGCGCACCCCACCAGCTCCGTGACCGAGCCGACCGCGGATGTACGGATGATCTCGCTCATTACCGGACCGTCCACGTCGGTCGACTGTCGACGGCCATTTTGCGTGCGTGTGTCGGCCGGCATGACTGCCTCTGCCCTCTGACCTTAGCTGCGCATCTGGGGCATTTGTCCGTGGGGACAGATGGACGCGTTCCCGGTAACGACACACTCTGGATAGTTGGCTCGTCGGGAGCGTGCTCGGTATTGACACACTCTGGACAGTCGGCCGTTGGGAGCGTTCCCCGTAACAACACACTCTGGACAGTCGGCTCGTTGCGGAGCGTTCCCGGTAACGACACACTCTGGACAGTCGGCTCGTTGGGCGTTCCCGGTAACACATACTCTGACAGTCGGCTCGTCGGGAGCGTGTTCGGTAACGACCACTCTGGACAGTCGGCTCGTTGGGAGCGTTTCCCGTAACAACATACTCTGGACAGTCGCTCGTCGGGAGCCGTGCTCGGTAACGACCACTCGGACAGTCGCTCGTTCGAGCGGTTCCCGGTAACAGACACACTCTGGACAGTCGGCTCGTCGGCATCGTCCCCGTAACGACCACAACCTCTGGACAGTCGGCGCGTCGCACGTTCCCGGTACGACCACTCTGGACAGTCGGCTCGTCGGCAGCGTGATTCCCGGTAACGAAAACCTGGGACAGTCGCTCGTCCGGCAGCGTCCCTACCAGACGGATTAGTCCGGCTTGTGGGCACGCTGCCTAATGCTCACTGACAGGTTCAATACGGCCTAGCTCGTCACGCTGAGCAGTGAGGCACTACATCCCTCACCGGTGACCGGCGGCTGAGAGAGTTCATCCGCCCCCAGATGCCGTAGAGAGCTCACCTGCAGGAGGCGCCCTCTGACACACGTTCTGCGGATGTTGGTCGTTACTTAGATATGCGGTGATGTATTGTGCCCTCACTCCTGTCTCCGATGCAGCGTGCGACTCCAAAGCGAAGACCTCGTTTTGTCTGCCTTTGTCATTGGCTGCTGTAATAAGTTTGGGTCGTCTTTCCAGCAAAGCTGGAAGTCATATCTGGCGTTACTTTGCCTCAACACAGTGCAGCGAGAAGTGCGTGACTTTCGTACTTCCGTACGTTTCCTTCCTTTCGTACTTTCCCAAGCGTTTTTTTACCACCCCGACCATAGTCGAGCAGTTAGGTGTATGGAAATAAGTAAATGGTAAGTGACAGCACCATGTGGGATTTAATGAGCGTGGCGCACGCAGAGTAGAACTCGGCCAATATACCTGTATGCGTGCTGCCACAGTTGCCTGCTCCTGTCACTAAACATCTGAATTTTCTAGTGCAAGAACCAGGTGAAGGGATGCTGTCTGAATAGCCTCAGGTCCACGCCCGGTGATACCCTGACGACGTGCGACTGTCGTTGGGAGCAGCCTCACGCAGCTCAGGTCCACGCCCGGTGATACCCTGACGACGTGCGACCGCCGTTGGGAGCAGCCTCACGCAGCTCAGGTCCACGCCCGGTGATACCCTGACGACGTGCGACCGTCATTGGGAGCAGCCTCACGCAGCTCAGGTCTACGCCCGGTGATACCCTGACGACGTGCGACCGTCATTGGGAGCAGCCTCACGCAGCTCAGGTCCACGCCCGGTGATACCCTGACGACGTGCGACCGCCATTGGGAGCCTCTCACGCAGCTCAGGTCTACGCCTGATACCCTGACGACGTGCGACCGTCGTTGGAGCAGCCTCACGCAGCTCAGGTCTACGCCGGTGATACCCTGACGACGTGCGACCGTCATTGGGAGCAGCCTCATGCAGCTGCCGGGCGAGGACCGGTGCGAGCGTTGAGTTTTCGGGCACCGCTTTGAGCTAGCATTGCTAACCATAATGACTGATTTTGAACGGCATTTGTTTTTTTGTGTCTTTTCTGTTCGAATAGAACTCTTCGTTAAGAGCTCTATATATATTATCAACTCGCTGCTGCACCCAGCGCGTTCTCATAAATTAGGGGTTGAATGATTCTGAGCTCGACGATTAAACGGCACTCAAGATATGACAACAAAAAGAATCGGAACGTCTCATAAATCTTTTCTTCATTTATCCTGTCATTCGAATTGTCTTCCCTCCGCGTCAGACCCATTGCATATTGAAAGTGATATTTGGCACCTCAGCGGTTTTTCAGATGCTAAAAGTGTGAGGTCAATCAAGGGATCTTTGTGAAACTCGCGGAGGTACACGCTCTTTTGATCAGTTTGATCTTTTGTTCACTTGCATTTAAAATCAACCGGTCGTTGGCAGAACTCTACTCTGCATTCTATACATTGTGTGACAGAGAAACTATGCATGCCATACCGCACCGGGGACTTCTGTTCAATACTGTCTGTCGAGAGCATGCCAGCGAGCTGCCGGTGGGTGCTGAAGCGGAGGGACTCACCGGGGAGAAGTAGGTCGGTGTGACATACGAGCTGGTGTAGTAGGTGGTGCCGCCCGATCCCTGGCGATCCTGTAGCTGCTGGAGTAGCGTGGGTAGCTCATGGTGCCGACCGAGACGCCTGACCTGACCTGAGCCGACCTGACGCGACCTGACCTCGCCTGACCGGTGACCTGGCGCGCGTCTGACCACCGCCGAGTGACTGTGGGTAGTGCCGGACGGCGCCCCGCTGCAGCGGCGCCGCCCAAAATAGTCGCCCCTCCCTCCCCCCGCGCGGGCCGACAGGTCAGACGCGGTGCCAACGGTGCCCCGCCCTGCCGCCGCTGGAACGGCCGCCCGCGTGACGACGACCGAGCGCTGGAGTCGATGTGGAAGGATCCCAGCGCCGCTGCCGGCACGGCTCGGGTTCGCGCGGGCGGCGCGGGTGCCGCCGCGGGTCACGCGTGCAGCACGGCGACGTCGGAGTCGACGGGGTCCGCGGCGGCGACCCGGGTCACGGCCGCGGACCCCGCAGGGCGGAGTCAACACAGGATCCGGACCGGGCGGCCGGCTGCCAACCGAGCCTGGCACCCGGCCGGCGGGGAGCTCCCACCCACCAAATACACAACTGACAGCGCGCGGTGAGATGTAGGGTTAGTAGGCCTGGAGACGAGAGACGGTGGCTCCACATCCGTCTTCCTCACAAAATGTCGCTGGACGGAGACCAGCCGGGAGCGCTGTGGTCGGGAGAGCCGCTCGGAGCGTCGAACGCTGGCATTGTTGCAAGCTGCGTGTGGTACGTTATACCAATGAACACGGTGCAAGCCGTTTTAGCAGCAAGGCGTTAAACAGACAGGGGAATTGTTGCTCATGGTTGTATGATGGGAGAGTGGCATCTTATCACTGTTGGTGTTGCTTGGCATTTGAGACACACTCAGATAGGCGCCAGCGTTTCAAAATTGGATTTAAATGCAAATTTCAATACAATAATAAAATTATGTGGTGGCCGCGATAGCAACGATTCAAACTTAATACAAAAACAGCCTTGCCCAAATGTGTCCAAAGCATTGCAACTGCGATAAAACGCTTGATGCCCACTCACTAGGTGGAATTGCAATGAGTTCAATGTTAAGGAGACATTTGCAGCCATCATCTAGGCCAGTTGGCCATATCAGCGTATAAATCACAGTATTTCTCTATTTTCAAAATCAATGTATTTCCAGTGGCTAAAGCTTACCATGATACCATTTCGTATATTATTAACCCAGAGCTGCGCTGTTGCTTGACCGCCCCATTCAACTACGTCTTTGTTTGTCCATAGAAAAACGTGAAGTGGAAGTAAATTTGACCATGAATTACGGTGGTAATGAAATGATCCCAACGGCGCGCAGTGTGCGGATCATAGAGCTCGCACACTCGGTCCCGGTTTTGCACTAACGACGTTTATGGTACAGCCGTAAGCGCGACCACACGCCCTCTGGCGCAGCGCGCTTATCCTGGCAAAAGCGCCTGCGGCAACAGCACACGTTCTCTGCTGCGACGCGCTTATCCTGGCAAAGCGACTGCGGCAACAGCTGGATTCAGTCGCCCAGGTGACGGCGATGCTCGTGACTCGCTGGTGCTGCGTCGCTCCCCCTACACGTCATCATCACGCGGGGAAAGTTTTCAGTCGCTGTCGTGCGCAGGGAGTCTGCGTACAGCTGTGGTTGAGCTGGCTGGCAGGGTCATGAGAGGACGCAGAAGCCCGATGACTTCATGGGTGGGTTCCCGCGGGTTGTGCCCCACATTGCGGAGAACGGACAGGGGAGAAATATGTGCCCCTTAGTAAATCGGGACCGGTAGCTCTCTTGCCTCTCCGGCGGCGCTGCTCCTGCACGCCTCCGTAGGGTTGATGTAACAGCCATTACATGACTACGGCTCATTCTAACCACTTCGAAGCAGCCATTTTGGTGCTGCTGCTTTATTGTACGTATGCGGGTGCGTCCCCGGCACATCTTGGTCTGGCCACATTCAGAGCGGCGCCACAAGAGCCGCCCACCTTCAAACGCCCTGCGCCCGCAGCATGAGCCAGCATGACCGCCATCTGTCGCTACCATATCGCGCCACGAACAGCGCTCTTTATGTCGTGCGCCATGTGCCGCTGAAGCGATGTCGCCCTTCAACGGCGGCCACAGTTGGCATGCGCAGCTTTCGCGCCGCCAGGAATAAGATGGTAACGATCTTGAAAAAGGAAGAAACGGGTGAAGGGGATCTTTAGATTACATGAGCGACACGCTACAACGTTATAGACTAAAAAAACGCAAAACCTGCCAACTTGCATGCCTTCATGCCCTGTACGGCGTAACCCGTGTCCGACTGGTGTGATTGGGGAGCATTCGTCAACCCCCTTAAAGAATTTCAAGCACATCGTGAATATGAAATGACGCAATGTCCGCCAAATTTTCAGAGCCATTTCCTCAGGCACAAAGCAAACGTTTTTCTAACGGGACCAAATGCCAAATGTCATACGAAGTCCTGCGAATATGGACTAAATTCTTGTGAAATCACCTAGTGCCCAGTGTTGCGCCTCTTCGCTCAGGGGCCACAATCCCCTTGACCTTCTGTATTTGTTTTACGTAGCAAGAGGTAAGTCAAATGACCTGATTTAAAAACTCCTGCTTTTTATTTTCATGCATTTACCAAGTTAATT